CTCAGTTACTGATTTCCTGTGGCATATCACTACACAAATATTCTCTTAAGGATGTAAAAAGATCAAATAAATACAAGTATTTAAAATGACAAACATAGAATGCAGATGCAACCAGAAACTTCAAACTGTGGGAAACTATTAAACAAATGATCATTTTTCTCAACAAAACACTTGAGAGAGAGAGAGGGGAAGGATTTAAAAGTGATTAAAGAGACATATTAACTAGGCACACTGTATAGAACTTGTTTGGATACTTATTCAAATAAAGTAATTTTAAAAAGGAAATTATAGTCAGAGAAATGTGAATATTGGTTTGGATCAGTGGTTCCCCTAACAGCCTGAAACTCAGATAATAATGGAAAAACAGTCGCCACTTTTTTTGGACTGTGGCTCAGCAGTAAAAGAATCTGCCTGCAATGCAGGGGACTGGCAGGAGATGCAAGTTCGATCCCTGGGTTGGGAAGATCCCTTGGAGGAGGAAATGGCAACGCACTCCAGCATTCTTGTCTGGAGAATCCCAAGGACAGAGGAGCCTAGAGGGCTACAGTCCATGGGGTTGGAAAGAGTTGAACACGACTCAGTGACTACACAACAACAAGAAATGGTATTGTAGTTATGTTTTTAAAAAGACAGCCTTAATCTTTTTGAGATACATACTGAAATATTTGTGGATTGTAAAATATGAAATAATATAAAGTTTGGGATTCATTTTAAAACAAGCGAGTTAGAATCAGAAATGGAACAACTGATTGGTTTAAAATTGGGAAAAGAGTATGACAAGGCTGTATATCGTCACCCTGCTTATTTAATTTATATGCAGAGTACATCATGAGAGATGCTTGGATGGATGAATCACAAGCTGTAATCAAGACTGCCAGGAGAAATATCAACAACCTTAGATATGCAGATGATGTGACTCTAATGGCAGAAAGTGAAGAGGAACTAAAAAGCCTCTTGATGAAGGTGAAAGAGGAAAGTGAAAAAGCTACCTTGAAACTCAACATTAAAAAACTAAGATCATGGCATCCAGTCCCATCACTTCATGGCAAATAGAAAGGGAAAAAGTGGAAGCAGTGACAGATTTTATTTTCTTGGGCTGCAAAATCACTGCAAATGGTGACTGCAGCCACGAAATTAAAAGATGCTTGCTCCTTGGAAGGAGAGCTATGACAAACCTAGACAGCATATTAAAAAGCAGAGACATCACTTTGCTGACAAAGGTCCATATAGTCAAAGCTGTGGTTTTTCCAGTGGTGATGTACAGATGTGAGATCATAAAGAAGGTAGAGAGCCAAAGAATTGATGCTTTTGAACTGTGGTGCTGGAGAAGACTCTTGAGAGTCCCTTGGACAGAAAGGAGATCAATCCTGAATACTGATCCTAAAAGAAAATATGCCCCTGAATATTCATTGGAAGGACTACTGCTAAAGCTGAAGCTCTAATACTTTGTCCACCTGATATGACGAGTTGACTCACTGGAAAGGATCCTGATGCTGGGAAATACTGAAGGCAAAAGGAGAAAGAGATGACAGAGGATGAAGTGATGAGATAGCATCACTATCTCAGTAGACATGGATTTGAGCAAACCCTGGGAAATAGTGGAGGACAGAGGAGTCTGGCATGCTGCAGTCCATGAGGTCACAGAGAATCACACACGACCTAGCAACTGAACAACAACAACAAATCAGAGTGAGGTGGGGTGGGAAAGTGGCTAGGGTTTTAGAAGGAACAAGACTGCCAGTTATGAATTGCTGAAGTTGGGTGATAGGTACATGTAAACACTTTCCTCTCCACTTTTTAATTTTCAAAAAGTTAAAAAATGTTATCTAACAAATAGAACCATTAAAGCATCTAAATTTTTGTTAAATAATTTTTAAAGTCTGGAACACACTGGAATTCTTTCACTTTCTAAGATGTCTAATGGACAGCAGTTCTTCGATTCACAAGCTTTGTAAAGTATCCATGAAAGTGGGATCCAGAACTCATGGGCAGCTTGCTTTCTGCCACATTTCCACTGTAAAGCATTACCCTGCTTCCTTCCATCAGAACAGGCATGTCCTTCTGAGGAGCTGGGGCCCTTTCAAGGATGCAAACTGAATCAACTGCCCTCAAACATCATAGTGAAAGCACACATACAGCTTGGCAATGCTTTCCTACTGCTTTTGAAATGTAGCTTTAAACCTGTCTTGATCACCTACCCTGGCTTGCAGCTGTGCTGGGGTCTGTCAAGAACTGTCAAGCCAGACCGCCTTCATGGTACAGTGGTTGAGAATCTACCTGGGACACAGGTTCATTCCCTGGTCTGGGAAGATCCCACGTACCATGGAGCACAAAGCCACACACAAAGTGTGCCGCAACTACTGAGCCTGCGCTTTAGAGCCTGAGGGCTGCAACTACTGAAGCCTGGGCACACCTCCAGCCTGTGCTCCACAACAGAAGCCACGAGCAGCCCACACACCGCAACGAAGGGTAGCTCCCACTCATGGCAACTAGAGAAAGCCCGAGTGCAGCAACGAAGACCCAGCACAATAAAAAACAAATGATAAATACACTATAGATTATTAAATGATATATATTATAATAAATGATACATTATATATTATAAAAAAGAACAGTCAAGCCAGCATTTCACAATGACCAGACTTCTGACCCCGTCCATTCCCACTGGGGCCTCACATCAGTCTTTGAAGGCGCCTCCCACACACTGATGGCACCCTACTCCAGTACTCTTGCCTGGAAAATCCCATGGATGGATGAGCCTGGTAGGCTACGGTCCATGAGGTTGCAAAGAGTAGGACAAGACTGAGCAACTTCGCTTTCTTTCTTTCCCACACCCTGGGTCTGCAGGGTGACCCATTCATTCTCACCCATTCAGGTGCCCTTTACTGCCCCTTTCTCATTAAAGTCTGAACTGGCCAACTTAAAATACTTGGGAGACTTCCAAAATCTACTGGACTTTATGCCCAAACTGCTCGCTGGGCAGAAGTGAAGTTCTTCAAAGGGTTTAGTGGCCTTTCATTCCACTTCAGATACCGACAACACTATCCCCTACCCCCAGGGTCACTGTAGCTAATTCAAAAACGTTGTCTCACTCCTGTTGCAACTTCCAAGCCCAATAAACCTTGTTTGCTACAAACTTTCTTAATTGGAGCTGGGACAGACTCTATTGCTGAAATACTTGGGGAGGCAGGTCAGATTTTTTTCCCTAGCAAAATAAACCTTATCTAAACCTTCCCTGGTTAAATCAATTATTCACAAAATAAATCAGTTATTGCATTCCCCCATATGACCCAAAGACAAGATAACCAGTTATATTTCGTTCACCAGCCTTGGAAACATACTTCACACACACAAAAAGTCTCCACCTATCTTGTCCATGAAACAAAGCAAATTAAAACTTATCATATATACTACAAGCACAAGCACAACATGTTTTCAGCAACGTCGTTTCCATCAGGTGCATGTCTACAAACACACAATAATTCCATCCCCGAGTGGAATTTGCCAAACAATGTGACCTGTGCTGACTTTCAGCAGAGAAACTCGGGAATTTATGTTTGGTTTTCGTTTTAAATGAGAAGGAAAGAAGGAGAGTGGGTCTTGAAAAAGTGGGAGAGTAATCTTAATCCTCTCATTTCCTCCCATTTTTTTCTGCATCAAAATGCAGGTATATCAGTACCATTTCAAGTGACAGTTTCTCAGGCAGTTTACCCCGACGGAGGTTGGAAACCAGGGGTGGAGATAAGGGTGGAACCGGCGACTGTAAGGACGGGCAGGGTCAGAGGCCCCCGCGCTCAGCCGAGCACGTGAGGTGCCCCGCGCCGACTGCCGGCCGCGCCCGGGTTCTCGCCCAGCCCACTGTTCTGGGTTTTGCCAGCGATTGCGCCGTCCAGGCTGCCCACTCACACCTCTGGCTGGTCCAGACTTTAGGGGAGGCTCATTTACTTCCGGTGATAAATCCCTCCCACCACCTCTAAAAATAATGTAACATTTCCCCCATCACTTTCCTAACCACCGACGGCCCCACAGACTGCCGCCGAGTCCCGGGCTGGGGTTTCGCCCCCCGGGCGGCCAGCAGCGGCCAGCTGTGTAGGGAGTGACGGCCCAGGGGGGTTAGGGCGTGGGAGGAAGAGGGAGGGGGTGTGGAGTCTCACCCTCCCCCCGCGCTCACCCCCCACCCCTTCGACTGCAGCAATTGGCAAAAAAAGAAATAGTAATCCGTTTTTAGACTCCTCCAGGGCCCCCTGGACCCGGCTGCAGCGAGGACCTCAGTCTCTCCCGTACGTGCCCTTCGCCTTCTCCCGCCCGGGTAACTGCCTTCGGGAATCCAGGAGCCCCAGGCCACGCGGAACTGCAGCAGCGCGGGGGTGGGTAGGAGGGTTTAGGGGCGGCAAGAATGGGTTGGGGGAAGGGGTGGTGGAAGGAAAAAGAAAAAAAAAAAAGAGACATGCAAGCGGCTCCCTAGCCAGCTGTTCCAGCTGCCGCTTCCACCCGCGCCGGCCGGGCGGTGTAATATCCCCCCCCTCCATCTTTCTCGCCACTACCTGTCCCCCCCATCCACCCACCACACGCACACATTCCCCCCACCAGTTGCGGATCTCCGGCCTGTAAGGGGGTAGTAGGGAGGAGCTGGGGGGGAGGGGGAGTCCTGCGAGTTTCTAACCTTGTTCTTATAAACAAACCCACATGTGCAGCTGCCGCTGCTGCAACTCACCCCACAATCCCGGATATAAGTCCTGCCCCTTTAAGAAGAAAAAAAGCTTCCCCCGCCTGCTCCCACCCCACCCATCCACAAGGACCTTTGTCTCCCCACCCCCTCTGTCAGTCGGCCCCGCCCCACATCCCCGCCCCCTCCAGCGCAGAGGAACCAATGGGCGAGGAAAATAAGGCCGGTGTCTGACGTCAGCATGCCCGGCCAATCACAGGGCGCGTTGGTGAGAGGCCTCGTGAAGGGCGCGCCCGGAGGAAGGAAGGCAGGAGAAAGGAAGCTTGAAGTCAAGATGGAGACTGGTGGTTTGTCCGCAGCTTCCCTAGCGAACGGGGACTTGGGGTCCCAGCGAGAGCGGACCCTGGTGCCCGAGCGACTTCAGAAGCGAGAACATGAGCGGCAACTGGAGGTAGAAAGGCGGAAGCAAAAGCGGCAGGACCAGGAGGTAGAAGGGGAGAAGAGCGACTTTTTCGCTGCCGCCTTCGCTCGGGAGCGATCGGCCGTGGAAGAGCTTCTGGAAAGCGGGGAGTCCGTCGAGCGGCTGGAGGAGGCGGCCGCTCGGTTGCAGGGGCTTCAGAAACTTATCAACGACTCGGTTTTGTTCCTGGCCGCCTACGATTTGCGGCAAGCGCAAGAGGTGCTGGCGCGGCTGCAGGCGGCCCTGGCCAAGCGGCGCCAGGAGCTTCAGCCTAAGAAGCGTTTCGCTTTCAAGACCCGCAAGAAGGATACTGCTTCAGCCACCCAAGTAGATTCGGCTCCCGACGCCCCGGCGGCGGAAGGCATCCTGACCTCCCCGCAGCCCTTGAAGAAGGAAGGAGATTTCGACTCCAGCTGGGTCTGCGGCTTCTCCAATCTGCAGTCCCAAGTTTTGGAGAAGAGAGCTGAGGAGCTGCACCAGCAGGACGTCCTTTTGACCCAACTGAGAAACTGCACGATCAAACTCTACGGCAATCCCAACACCCTGCGGCTGACCAAGGCCCAAGGCTGCACGCTGCTCTGCGGCCCGGTGTCCACCTCCGTGTTCCTGGAGGACTGCAGTGACTGCGTGCTGGCCGTGGCCTGCCAGCAGCTCCGCGTACACACCACAAAAGACACCCGCATCTTCTTGCAGGTGACCAGCAGGGCCATCATGGAGGACTGCACCGGGATCCAGTTCGCCCCCTACACCTGGAGGTACCCGGGCATCGACAAGGACTTCGAGGGCTCTGGTTTAGACAAGAACAAAAATAACTGGAACGACGTTGACGATTTCAACTGGTTGGCCCGGGATGTGGCCTCCCCGAACTGGAGTGTTCTTCCTGAAGAAGAGCGAAGGATCCAGTGGGACTAAGCAGTTGTCACTCTTCACTTCCACCAAATACTTCCCTGTGGGACTGATTCCGACTCATGGGACCCCAAAGTTTACCGTCGTCATGCTTTGTTTTCATTATTTTAAGACTTCGAGGTTGTGATAGGCTTCTACTTTTGATTTCCATTAAATTTGTGGCAGGTGTAGCACTTTAAAGAAATTTTGCTATTTTGGTACTGCCCAGGACCTATTGTTAGACGGTGATACTTTGAAGTCATAAGGGGGAAAAGTGTGATTGTATCTTGGTTTTTAATGATTTGTGGTGTTTAAAACTTATTGCTTGATAGAGTAGGCCTTTAATAAATATTTGTTTAATAAACGAATTCAGTAGGGCTCTAGTAGGAGCCGGTTAGTCTGTAACTAAGGTATCAGACCTGTTTAAACTGCCATTAACCAAGAGCTTTTTTGACTTGCAGGTTTAATTTCCATAAGTATTTTTTAGTGGATCGATGGAAGGACTCCTCTCTGGTCTTCAGCTACATGTTGGCTTGAGTTTTTGGCATCCAGCTACTCATTGACTGACTTGGATCCAAACTTTTGGCAATGGGCTCCAAGAGCCTCATGAGTCTTAACCACACATAAAGCCACAGTAGTTATAGCTACCAATTTTTGTGCACTTAAAATTTTATTGACACCAATGTAAGCACCTTACTGGTGTAAACTTACTAAGTCCTCAAAATCTTATGAGATAGATTCTGTTAACACCATTTTTCAAGTAAGGAAACATAAGAAAGTTGCCCAAAGGCCACACAGCTGGAGTGGTAGGCTGGATTGGAAACCAGGTACTCTGGCTCCAGAGCCCAGCTTCTTTAATCTCTACTAGATATTGATAATTGAGTTGGGAAGAAAGCTTCCAAAATTAAGAAGGGCAAATAGCTTTTGGCATAATGTGCTAATTATTCTCATATACTAAAAGAACTGAGGCAAACATGGCTCAGTCTTAATTTTTCGACTCATTTTGCTGTAATTCTCTGCTGTTACAAATTTGGCTTTCTGCTCTCTACACTATGACTCATTACTAAATGGAAAGTTGTATGATTTTCAAAAAGCTGTTTTGGGTCTAGTGGCTTTGTAACTGTGGATGTGCTTTTTATTTAATAACTGCTACAAGTATTAAGGTGCTTAAATATCATCGTCTTTATAAGTTTAATATTACATGTTCTCTTTTGTTCCAAAGAAGGATTTACAGTGACTTCTAGGATATGTGAAATATAACAAAATGATAAATGACAAGGAGGAACCAGGGCAGAGTGACAAACTGCAGGCAGAAGTGAAGCCAGTAAACATGTAGCTGCCAAACTCGGTTCCTTAGCTGGATGTGAATGCAAATTATTTTTTTCCTCAACCATTAACTAACTTGAAAAGGTAATCAGTTTCGCAATTTGCATCATCTGCAAACAAGAGGGGAAAATATCATTTGCTTGGGAGAATTAATTCTAATAATAAAAAGAGACAACATAGAATGAGATCCTCAACCATATTTTTACATTAGAAACTTGTATATCCTAAAGCTATACCCCTAGAGACGGATAGTTTAACACAAGTGCACCTAAGGATAAACCATGCTTAAATAAAAAAGGTTTAAAAAAAAAGAATAAACCATGCTTGTTTTTCTTTTTTGGGCACACAGCCTGGCATTTGGGATCTTAGTTCCCTGACCAGGGACTGAACCCAGGCCTTGGCAGTGAAAGCTTGGAGTCCTAACCACTGGACTGTCAGGGAATTACTCAAGAATAAACCATGCTTGTGACACTAATGGGCTTTCAATTCATTTCTGTGGACTGATCATTTTTATAGGAAAGTTTACTTTGCTAATTAAATCTAAAAAATAAAATACCTTGAACCTCTTGCAAACCTTATGGCAGTATGAACCATAGTAATGCTTGCTAATCTCAGCCAAGCTTTCTCTGCTGCTCAAAAAGCCTGTCCTGCCTTCCTGAATGATGCTGAGTTGCCCAGACCCTTTCCTACTTTTTTTTTAGCCATGCCTCCCAGCTTGTTGACAGTACCTTAGTTCCCGGACCAGGGACTGAACTCGGGCCCCCTGCAGTGGAATCCTAACCATTGGACCTCCAGGGAAGTCCCAACCCCTTTCTTCTTAAGTTCACAATTATGTACCTGTAACTCTGCCGACAACCCAGCCAGTTACAGGCTATCCAACTAGCTCCCCCAATGCCCCTCAGTATTTGAAAACATTTCCATCTTTGCTGATCTTCCTCACTAGAGGCATGTCTCTTGCCCAGAGATTCCTCTTCCACTCGTGGAACTAACCTCCTTTGGCTGTCACTCCCTTTCCACAGGCCTTTATCTTTTAAGACATCCCATCCTGGGATCCTCCACGCTACATGTCATGAATGATGCTCCAGCTCCTTTCTTGTGTGTCTGACAACACAGCTGTGTCCACTTACTCTATATATCTACACTCTCTTTCAGTCTTTGTAATTTTAACTCTTCTCTGCTGAAAGTGTGCTTTGATGATCTTTGTTGTTTAGTCACCCAGTTTTGTGACCTCATGGATTGGGATTTTTCCAGGCATGAATACTGGAGTGGGTATATTAGTGGCTTGATCACCAAATCTACTGGCTCCTTCCCCTCCCTTCAACTTAGCCTTTTTACTCTAGGTACAGTGTACTGTTTGTGTTTGAGGTACAGTTTACACTTAACCTTGAAGTTCCCTCCTTGACCATAAGCTTCCTCTAACCTGTTTCCAGTAGGATGGCTTCCCTTCATTGGGATTCTGGTGATTTATAGCCTTTAAATATAAGTGATGCCCAAAGTTTTGAGCATCAAAACTTAGCTTTAAAAAAAAAAATTTTACTTATTTGGCTGTCGGGTCTTAGCTGTAGCACACAGGACTTTCGTTGCTGCATGGGAGATCTTCATTACAGTATGCAGGATCTTTAGTTTCAGCATGCGGGATCTAGTTCCCTGACCAGGGATTGAACCCAGACCCCCACATTGGGAGCACAGAGTCTTAACCACTGGACCACCAGGGAAGTCCCCTTTAGCTTCTTTTTGTATTCATTCTCTCAGAGCCTCAACTCTCAACCTATGTGCACAGTCTTGGGTTTGTGCCCCTAGCCTCGACCCTTATTGGGCTTACCTGCCTTTCAGATTCCAAATTTTTATTTTTCTTTTTCTCTGTTGTTTTATTTTGGCTGTGACCTTAGTTCCCTAGCTAGGGATAGAAGCTGGGCCTATAGCAGTGAAAGTGCCACATCCTAACCAGTGGACCATCAGGAAATTCCCTCAAATTCCATATATTGTTAAAATCTCCACTTTTCACTTTTTTCTCACCCAAGTTCCATGTTCAAGGATGTCACTCTTCTCCAGGCACCCAGTGCTTACCAGGTCTAGTGACAGACTTTATTTTTGGGGGCTCCAAAATGACTGCAGATGGTGACTGCAGCCAGGAAATTAAAAGACGCCTACTCCTTGGAAGAAAAGTTATGACCAACCTAGATAGTATATTAAAAAGCGGAGACATTACTTTGCTAACAAAGGTCCGTCTAGTCAAAGATATGGTTTTTCCAGTAGTCTTGTATGGATGTGAGAGTTGGACTATAAAGAAAGCTGAGCGCAGAAGAATTGATGCTTTTGAACTGTGGTGTTTGAGAAGACTTAATTAAGAGTCCCTTGGACTGCAAGGAGATCCAACCAGTCTATCCTAAAAGAAATCAGTTCTGAATATTCATTGGAAGGACTGATGCTCAAGCTGAAACTCTAATACTTTAGCCACCTGATGCGAAGAACTGACTCATTGGAAAGATCCTGATGCTGGGAAAGATTGAAGGTGGGAGGAGAAGGGGATGACAGAGGATGAGATGGTTGGATGGCATCACCGACTCGATGGACATGAGTTTGAGCAAGCTCCAGGAGTTGGTGATGGACAGGGAGGCCTGGGGTGCTGCAGTCCATGGGGTTGCAGTTAGATACAACTGAGCGGCTGAACTGAACTGAACTGAACTGAAGCTGGTGAAGTCCATGAACAAGGCTGCTGAGAGAAAGTCACTAGGGAGTGGGGGACCAGATGACTCGGCAGACAAATTCAGGTATTTAAAAAACATTGGACAAGACAAGCACAATGTTTTTTGCACTCTGCATCTGGTCCCCAAGTTGGCCAGTGATGAGTGATGCCCAAATCATGTCAGTTCCATTCCCAGAAGGTCTCACCTATTAATCCTGTCCTCTCAAGTCTTCCTGCTATTTCAGGAAGATAGACCCTATCTCTTTCCCTTATGCTTAAACTGGGATGGATTTTTTTTTTTTACAAAGACAAAAAGAAAACAAATCTATATTAAAGTCATACCCCTATATTAAAATCATTGACTTAAAGTCACTTTAGTTTTTATTAAATCTAATGACAATCGTCATTGCAGTGAGGGCATATTCACCAATTAGTGTAATGACCATATATTTTCTCTAAGATCAACTCTGGGAAAGCAATAAAATTGCATAGCAGTCAAGCAGTCAGTTTATTAAATTTCATTTATGATCAGTTATGTTAAATACAACAGTACAGTGCTAGATGCATGTGTGAGTGCTCAGTCCCCCAGTTGTGTTTGACTCTTTGCAACCCCATGGCCTGTAGCCTGCCAGGCTCCTCTGTCCATGGAATCTTCCAGGCAAGAATACTGGAGTGGTTGACAGAAAACAACAAAATTCTGTGAAGCAATTATCCTTCAATGAAAAAAATAAATTAATTTAAGAAAGAATACTGGAGTGGATCACCATTTCCTTCTCCAGGGGATCTTCCCGACCCAGGAATCCAACCTGTGGCTCCTGCATTGGCAGGCAGATTCTTTACCACTAAGCCACCTGGGAAGCTCCCACGAAGCTATTATGTGAGTATTGTATAATTATAAAAGTGTTACTCCAGAGTCTCAACCGCATAAGAACAGGAGAAAATGGTCAATTTACTTAAAAGTTTTAATACTAAAGTTCTGACTGCCATGCCAGAGTCATTATTTAACAACAACAAC